TGGTCTTGGTGTGGGTGTAGGACTGGTCCCGGAATGTCATATTAGTCACGAGTTGTGTGGTGGTGTGGTGCAAGCGTGTGCTTCCCAGTGTTGACATTACCAACTGCTGACAAGTAGAATAATTGAACCGCATAGCAACACCGTTGTTGTAGTGAAAGGTGGGAACAGAGGTGTAGTAATAATACCACTCTTGTGAGTTTTTTTTTTTTTTTTTTTTGCTGGCGGTTCGCGCGCTGCAATAGTGACCTGTTCCCATAGTTCTTTTCTCACAGTTCGGTGAGAGACCAGACTTTCCTGATGACCGGCTGATCGTGCACCTCCTGAAAAAAAAAAACTTGTCCAATTATACAGAAACTTATTCCGACAATATGCAAGTGTTTAATGTGGATATAATAGAAAATATGAAGAAAATCCTTAAAATCATTTCCAGTTAGCCAAGCCGGTGTGTGGAAGCTAACTGATCAGGTTGGCATGCAGGTCATTATTGTCAATATATTAGCAAGAAACTCTAAACCCGTGAAACATTTAGCACTGAGGACTGGTGATTAGCGTTTGCTGTATTACACATGCTGGTGTGTACTACAGTGATTAAGTGATACCCACACCGTCCAGAGTGAGTATATGCAAACTGCTTCACTGGGATTTGTCATAAACATATCCTTCCCAAGCACCCCCCCCCCCAACCTCCCTACTCATCTTCGTTGTTATGCCTCTTCATTAGTAATTTGTGTTGAAGGCTTATATAATTTAAACGAGATATGTGACTGGTTAATTCCGTATGATACCTAATTTAGCACTCATTATATGTTGGTTCATGTGACATCCTTCCATCAGTTGTAGGTCGTCATCGTGTGCTTTTCAGTGAGCGAGTAACCCTTATAACAAAGCTGGGTCTATAATGTAATTAAAAATGTCGCATTTTCAGAATTATTTGCGTGTGTTTATTTCTAAATGTTGACACCACGAACTTTTAGGTGTACACAATGTTGCGACATAAGAAATCAGCGCCCAAGATCTCTGAGAAGAATACCAAAGAAACACAACCGGGTTCCTCAGCATTTCTGATGGAGCATGCCGGCAGGTCAGGCATGCTGGTAGCTACACCCATCAGGTGTGCCATGCATGCAGAAGATTTGCCTAATCGGCATGTCCTCGTGAGATCATTCACCTCACTGGAACACAATGATCTGGAAGGAATAATCAAAAGAAGGGGCGGTGAATCTTTTAAGAGGAATAGCGGACATCGGCCCGAGAGCATGGTGGAAATAGCAGAGTCGAAGAGAAAAAGTGATCCTTGCTCGAGTAGTACTTTCATGAGCAGTGTCACGTCTCTCAAAGCGTTTTTCGGGGTCAACACAGATGGAGGGGAGTCTCTCATGTTCAAGAGGATCGGGACCACAAGACCAACCAAAAAGGCGGCTGCTGACACTAAGACGCGAAACGTGATTCCTGGACTGAAGAGACTACCTCACGACCGCTCCCTCAAGCAAAAGTCTCCCAGCCCTTCGGCACTGTCTTCCAATATGAATTCATCCATGGCATCGTCATCTAAAACCTCGAAGTTCCGTAAAGGAAGATCAAGAAAACGTTTTATCTCGAGCACTTCAAAGAGTGCAAGCAAGGACGAGGAGCAAGTGACCTCATCAGACGACGAGAAGGTAGAGTTTACATAAGGCTTGTCGATGGCTTGTGCAAGATTATACGAGAATCTCGTGAATTTTGCTGCTTGTATGTAATTCGCTTGTGCTGTTGACTGTTCATTGGCGTTGTCCTACGTTTCTTAGCTATTGCTGTTTTGTGGCACTGATATTTGTTGTTAATGTGGTACTTTTAGTTAGTGTGTTTTCATAATAGATACATTTTGTTCGTATATATATATAAGGGAAATTGTAGTATGCTTTGGCCTGTCACAGTTATGATGTAATTTTTTTTTCTTCTTTCTGAAAAGATTTCGGGGAAATAATCATGATAATGTTTGTCTGTAGAGAATACTGGGCTTGTGCCCAGAAAATTGTAATTGCATTCGACTCAGCCAATGTACCTTACATTACTGTAATCCACTTGACATTGTAGAAATGATTGTTAACACGACCATGCACTTTGTCTCAGGCCAGACTAATGCAACGCCATATTCAGAAAAAACTAAAATATATTCAACGGTCTCCAGTGCAAATGTTTCAGGTAAATTTACAGTAATAATAAGTCATTCTGTTGTACTGATACAAAGAAATCTGTTGCCGATTTTAGGCATAAACTAAGAAAAAATAAATGGTAAAATTTTCCAGTATTCATTGAAAAATAAATCTGAATGTTTGGTATAGAACTAATTAAACTTGACATAGTTTAGGACCTCATCATGTCAAAATCCGGTTCAGGGAGAGGCAGTTCGCAAAGTGAACTTTACCTGTGACTGGTTTTGAGAGTCCTTATACCTTCGAAGACCAGCCTGGGGCCAGATTTCTCTGTTGATTACCTGTTTAACCAGGCTGTTGCTGGCCCCACTTATCCATCACAACCTGGTTGATTTGGTGAAGGTAGTAATCTCTTTACCTCTTGAGAACCTGTACACTTTTTCCGGCATTATTTTTTGGGATATCTGCTGGTAGTAAATTGAAGTCTTGGACCACAGAGAGGTTAAAGAAAAAAGGCATGTGATGGGGATGGGAATTAAAAAAAGCTGGCGATAGTGATAGAGATTAAATAAAATTGACTATAGAGATTAGGGGTTAAAGTAAGAGGATAAGGATAATGAGGAGGAAAAAAGCAAGAATTGGGCATAAAAATAAGAGTAGGAATAAAGTAAAGCAGCGAGAGAAGGATGAAGAGGAGCAAGAGTGGACTTAAAAAAAAAAAAGGTGCAAAAGATGGTTTTATACAGAGGCAGGCACAGTAACAGATGGCTTTAAGGAAAGAGCATTAGGTTTCCACTGACCTTTTGAGATAGATGATGGAATCGAGATGTTAAGCAATAAGCAATCATGTCCAGCTCAAGGATTTAGCACTCGTATAAAGTAGACAGTTTGTTCTATATTGTATCATGGAAGTAGCTTCCCAGTTATTATATTTATAGTTATTACCATGCTGGAAAATTGCTGAACTGTCGTGTATGTATCTAACAGACGTCTTGTGCTTAGTTGTTCTAGTGATTTTTACCTCTTATGTATGAGTACAGACTTTTCAATGAATTTTACATAAACTGGGCACATCATTGATGGTTTGTTCTTTCAAACCACTGCTAAGTTACCTATTTAGGTTTCAACTTTTAGTAGATTTTTTCTTGTATCCTGCCCCTTGTAATTTTTTATTTTTTTGCTGCTGTTTTGACTCTTGTTACATAGTATTAATTTTATGAAATTTCGGAAGGTTTAAATTTATATTAGGTCCCTTGCTTGGGGGTACATTTTCTATGTATTCCGTTGGTGGATATATATTATTTTCATCAGCTCTTATATGACAATAAATTTGTTTGGAAAATGGAAGTATTTTAAAAATCTAAAGTACAGAATTCTGTATTTACGTATTTCACAATGATGCACAGTGCAGTATAATGTATCATTTTCCTGTAACCTGATACAATATTGCTCAGAATTTGCAAGTTCCATAATAATTTAATGGCCTTTACTACTGCAGTGCAATGTTGTACATTGGTTAATATTGTATTAGCAGAGGAAATGAAATGGATGCAACTGAAAGCTACATATGATGCACTTCTCTTCATTAAAATTAATAATTTTAGATACTTCATGATACGAAAGTTTCAAAAGCCAACTTTGGACAATGAAGCAATAAAAAGAATTTTTATGTATTGTAGTTATACTGTACTTACTACAGTACTTGAAATTCCAGTAATTAAGAAAATAATTAGAAGAATATGGATAACCTACCTAGCATCTCTGAGGTAAGGGAAACCATCCATGATGGCCTCTCTTCAAGTGACGAAACTCTGGACCCAGACAGTACGGAAGAAAATCACTCTGATTCCCCAGAAATAAGGTCTGAATCTCCACTTCATTATGTTGATTGTGAGGATACAGGACAGTGTGAGAGCTTGTCGTAAGGGTAGTCACCGCTCAAACATTGGTGATTCGGATTGTGCATCAATAAATAGTAGTTGTTTGGGTGATGATCCTCCTACAAATGTAGAAGAAATGGTAGATGGGCACAAAAGTTTGCCCTTGGAACATTTTGTAACCATCCGTCGTGATTCAAATTTACAAGGGCAGTCCTTTAGGAAGGACAAGAGACTCAGCATGATTATGGCAGCTTGCCTAGATCCAGGAAAGCCTCCAGCAGCCACTAGCAGGTCCTTGGAACATTTAGCGGTGAGTTTGGTTTTGTGGGAAGGTAAAGAGAAGTGGTGAGTGCAGGATCCATGAGTTAAGTGAACAATTAAAATCCAGAATGATAAAAGTTGAAGAGTAAGACACACGGACAACACAAAGAATCTTTACTGATTAAATGTTTTGCCTAAGCTGCAAGCTTCATCAGACTATTACAGAGACATTAGCATTGGTGGAATATAAAGTAGAGAAACTGGAGAGGTAGCTAATGTAATTAGTCCATCACCCTTGGAGCATAATGTCTTATTCTTCAGCCTGTCATTTTTATATACCATTTGTAACTTGATAAAAGTTGATTTGTTGAAAGAATGAGTAAGTTAAGGCCAGCATATACCTACTGTATTTGATTGAAAAGAATATAAAATACGATTTTGTTGTCATTTTGATACATAACCTAGACTAGTAATAATAATAATGAAATTTTCAGAAAACATTTTTGGGCACGTTGGTGAATTACAATAGTAATGAATGACTTTTACAGTATGGTACCTCAAAAATTCAAGTGATTGATAAGTAAAAGCCAGAGCTGTTAAAAATTCAGTGAGCCAGTATTGTAACAAATTAAGGAGTAAATTAATACACAACTGTATGAATTTAGACTGTTGGAAGTTAAGAAATTATTGAGCAAAGTTTAGTAACCCTCTATTTTTAAAATTTTAGGTTGATGGTGGTGTTGAAAAGAAGTGGACACGAAGCAACTCTCTCCGCCGGCACTTCAACAGCTCAAGACACAATGGTGGCCACCAGCAGGATCCTTCGGCACATTCTGATACAGAAATTGGCAAGGTCTGTTGTTCATACCTTCATAGGTGGCAATTTTTTTAAATAGATTCGTAACCTATAATTCACGGAGAGTGTTACATCATCCTAGTCAAAATTATACAGTGGACCCCGCTTTACAAATGCATCGCATTACGCATTACGTTAAATCCGCCATACGAAGCATTTGAACGCAAAAATTTTGCCTCGCCTCAGATAAAAAAAACTCGCCTTACGTGATTCGTCCGGGACGCATCCCACGTGTGGCCTCAGCTGCCTCGTGGGTGCCAGTGTTTACAAGCCAGCCAGTGTGATTGCATCTACGCATACATTTGGTACAGTGTTTTTAGTGCTTATAACTGCAATATAAGTCACCATGGACCCCAAAAAAACTTCTAGTGCCATCCCTGTGGTAAAAAGGGCGAGAATTAGTATGGAATTGAAAAAAGAGCTTAAGGAAATGTGTGCAAAGTGCGTTGAACTGCAAACCTTTATGGATGAAAACCACCCTGACACAGCTACTGGAAGCCGTGTTGGCAACCTGTACAATGACAATGTTATGGCCCATTTTAGGAAAATCTTAAAGGAACGGGAGGTACAGAGCTCTATGGACAGATTTGTTGTGTGACAGAGGTCCAGTGGCATTAAAAGAAAAAGGGAAGTAACCCAGGAAAAGGACTTGCTACCTCGAGTCCTAATGGAAGGGGATTTCCCTTCTAAACAATAACTTCCACACTCACCCCTCCTCCCATCCCATCAATCATCACCAGATCTTCAATAAAGTGCCATGTATTCTATTCTTAGTAGGGTAGTAATTGTGCATGTCTTCAGTTTGTGTATACATTTAAAATTAATATTTCACATGGTAAAAAAATTGTTTTTTTCATACTTTGTGGTGTCAGGAACGAATTAATTTGATTTCCATTACAGTGGACCCCCGCATAACGATCAGCTCCCAACTCTACTACTTATGTAAGTGTATTTTTGTACGTGCTTTTGTAGGTGTATTTTTGGGGGTCTGAAACGAACTAATCTAATTCACAATATCTCTTATGGGAACAAATTCGGTCTATAATGGCACCCAAACAGACTTCTGGATTGAAATAATATTGTTATGCGGGGGTCCACTGTATTTCTTATGGGGAAAATTAATTTGGCTAACGATAATTTCGGTTTACGATGAGCTCTCAGGAACGGATTAATATCGTAAGGCGGGGGCCCACTGTATATATATACATATATTATATATATATATATATATATATATATTTTATATATATATATATATATATATATATTATATATATATATATATATATATATATATATATATAATATATATAATATATATATATATTATATATATAATATATATATATTTTAAATAATATTATATATATATATATATTTTTAATATATATATATATAATATATATATATATATATATTATATATATATATATATATATATATATATATATATATATATATATATATATATATATATATATATATATATATATATATATATATATATATATTATTATATTTCTTCTTTCTTTCAACACATCGCCGTATCCCACCAAGGCAGGGTGGCCCAAAAGGAAAAAACGAAAGTTTTCTCCTTTTACATTTAGTAATATATACAGGAGAAGAGGTTACTAGCCCCTTGCTCCCGGCATTTTAGTCGCCTCTTACAACACGCATGGCTTACGGAGGAAGAATTCTATTCCACTTCCCCATGGAGATAAGAGGAAATAAACAAGAATAAGAACTAGAAAGAAAATAGAAGAAAACCCAGAGGGATGTGTGTATATATATATATATGCCTGTACATGTATGTGTAGTGTGACCTAAGTGTAAGTAGAAGTAAACCATACCCCCGGCCGGGATTGAACCCGCAAGCAAGACGTACCTGAAACCTTGCATATTTATGAGACAGAAAAATGGACACCAGCAATCCTACCATCATGTAAAAGAATTACAGGCTTTCGTTTTACATTCACTTGGCAGGACGGTAGTACCTCCCTGGGCGGTTGCTGTCTGCCAATCTACTACCTATAATATTATATATTATATATATATATTATATTATTGTGCCCTCGAATGAGTGGTATTGATCAATAACAACAATACGACTACCCAAGGACTCGAACCCATGCTGCTTTGGCCTGCCTCATGGTGGGCGAAAACTCATGACGCCTTAATCCACTGGACCAAACAATCCAGTGGATTAAGGCATCATGAGTTTTCACCCATCATGAGGCAGGCCAAAGCAGCATGGGTTCGAATCCTTGGCTAGTCGCAGTGTTGTTTTTTTTATATATATATATTTATAATATAATATATTATATATATATATATATATATATATATATATATATATATATATATAATAACACACACACACACACACACACACACACACACACACACAGGGCTAGGACTCGACCCCTGCAACCACAAATAGGTGAGTACACACACCTACCATCCGACTTAGGACCGAGTTCGGTTCCAAGAAACCGGTCGTAAGTCGAACTTTACTACTGAATATCAACAAAACATTTTTGTAATGACTTTATTTTATTGTTTTATTTTGGTATTTCATGTTTTACTTTACTTTTCATGTTGTTAGTACTGTATTTTATACTGTAAGGTTTAGGATAAACACTGTGTACAACACAAATAGTTGTTTATTTCCCAGAAATTTGGCATAAAAAGCATGGTCGTAAGTCGAGTGGTCGTAAGTCGAGTGGTCGTAAGTCGAGCAGGTCGTAAGTCGGATGGTAGGTGTATATATACATTTATTCTTTTTCTTTCAATGTATCAGCCGTATCCCACCGAGGTGGGGTGGCCCAAAAGGAAAAACCAAAGTTTCTCCTTTCAAATTTAGTAATATATACAGGAGAAGGGGTTACTAGCCCGTTGCTCCCAGCATTTCAGTCACCTCTTACGACACGCATGGCTTACGGAGGAAGAATTCTGTTCCACTTCCTCATGGAGATAAGAGAAAATAAACAAGAACAAGAACTAGAAAGAAAATAGCAAAAAACCCAGAGGGGTGTGTGTATATATATACTTGCACATGTATGTGTAGTGTGACCTAAGTTAGTAGAAGTAGCAAGATGTACCTGAAATCTTGCATATTTATGAGACAGACAAAAAACACCAGCAATCCTACCATCATGTAAAACAATTACAGGCTTTCGTTTTACACTCACTTGGCAGAATGGTAGTACCTCCCTGGGTGGTTGCTGTCTACCAAACCTACAAACAAATAATATATATATATATATATATATATATATATATATATATCATAATAATATAATTTTTATATATATACATGTATATATAATAAAAATATATTTTATATATATATATATTTATAATATATATATATATTTTATATATATATATATATAAAATTTTAATATATATATATTAAAGGTAGTGGGTTTGGGTAGACAGCAACCACCCAGGGAGGTACTACCGTCCTGCCAAGTGAGTGTAAAATGAAAGCCTGTATTGTTTTACATGATGGTAGGATTGCTGGTGTCTTTTGTCTGTCTCATAAATATGCAAGATTACAGGTACGTCTTGCTATTTCTTACTTACACTTAGGTCACACTACACATACATGTACACGTTTATTTATACACACTCATCTGAGTTTTCTTTGATTTATCTTAATAGTTCTTGGTCTTATTACTTTTCCTTTTATATCCATGGGGAAGTGGAATAAGAATCTTTCCTCCGTAACCCATGCGTGTTGTAAAAGAGAACTACAATGCAGGAACAATGGGCTAGTAACCCCTTTTCCTGTAAAGATTACTAAAAGAAAAAGAACAAGAAAATTGTCAAAGTGGGAAGTCTGAATGTGCATGGATGTTGTGCAAATGATAAAAAAGAGATGATTGTGGATGTTATGAATGAGAGAAACTGGATGTCCCGGCTTTAAGTGAAACAAAGCTGAAGGGGTGGGAGAGTTTCAATGGAGAGGAATAAATGGGGTTAGGTCAGGGTTTCAAATAGAGTTAGAGCTAAAGAAGGAGTAGCAATAATGTTGAAGGATAAGCTATGGCAGGAAAAGAGGGACTACAAATGCATAAGTTCAAGGATTATGTGGAGTAAAATAAAGATTGGATGTGAAAAGTGGGTTATAGTAAGCGTGAATGCACCTGGAGAAGAGAGAAGTGTAGAGGAGAGAGAGAGATTCTGGGAAATGTTGAGTGAATGCGTGGGGAGTTTTGAATCAAGTGTGAGAGTAATGGTGGTTGGGGATTTCAATGCTAAAGTGGGTAAAAATGTTATGGAGGGAGTAGTAGGTAAATTTGGGGTGCCAGGGTAAATGTAAATGGGGAGCCTTTAATTGAGCTATGTGTAGAAAGAAATTTGGTAATAAGTAATACATATTTTATGAAAAAGAGGATAAATAAATATACAAGGTATGATGTAGCACGTAATGAAAGTAGTTTGTTAGATTATGTATTGGTGGATAAAAGGTTGATGGGTAGGCTCCAGGATGTACATGTTTATAGAGGGGCAACTGATATATCAGATCATTATTTAGTTGTAGCTACAGTTAGAGTAAGAGGTATGATGGGAAAAAGAGGAAGGTGGCAACAACAAGTAAGAGGGAGGTGAAGTGTATAAACTAAGGGAGGAGGAAGTTCGGGCGAGATATAAGCGACTATTGGCAGAAAGGTGGACTAGTGCAAAGATGAGTAGTGGGGGGGTTGAAGAGGGTTGGAATAGTTTTAAAAATGCAGTATTAGAATGTGGGGCAGAAGTTTGTGGTTATAGGAGGGTGGGGGCAGGAGGAAAGAGGAGTGATTGGTGGAATGATGAAGTAAAGAGTGTCATAAAAGAGAAAAAGGTAGCTTACGAGAGGTTTTTAC